TGTCTAAATATGCATAGGAATTTGGGGTAGTGCACAGGAAATCTCATATTATTAGGTGTCTTATCCATGTACACTTACTGGTGAGGTGGTCTGACTGGGATACAAACCTAGGTCTAAGGCAGCGATGTTACCACTGTTCTATATAGCTATCATGAGTTACTTTCAGCATTAATAAATCATCAGATATTACAGGCCACATATCATTTGTGCGCACACAAAGCATGACTGTCTAAAACTGAGAACTGTGTAGATAACACCAGTAATGCGAGTGGTAAAAAACTACTTCTATAACAATAACCTTTGCTCCCCTGCTAAAGGAGAGCACAGGGCAAAGTTTAGACAATAGTAATTTATAAACTTGCCCTGAAAAAATTATGGGTCATCAAAAAGATTAGATATGACTTAATAAATCATCCTGTGCCAATCTGACAGGGCTGTAAGTGTTAATGAACATTCAGCATTGCAGATTTTGTATCACAAACAAATATGTAGCATAACTATTTTTATGTCTCCTATTGTCTGGATATGTCTCTCAGTGCATCTCTGTGCCTGCATGTCTCTCAGTGTGTCTGACCTTTCATGTCTCTCTGTATGTCTGTGCTTGCATGTCTCTCTGTATGTCTGTGCTTGCATGTCTCTCTGTGTATCTGCGCCTGCATGTCTCTCTGTGTGTCTGTACCATCATGTCCCCTGTGTGTCTGTGCCTGTATGTCCCCCTGTGTGTCTGTTCCTGCATGTCCCCCTGTGTGTCTGTGCCTGTATGTCTCTCTGTGTATCTGTACCAGCATGTCCCTCTGTATGTCTGTGCCTGCGTATCTTTATATTTGTATAACTACATGCATATTTCTTTATGTGGACTTAGGACAGGGCCGCCATCAGGGGGTGACAACCATAACTGGGGGGCCCAGCTGTCCTGGGGGGGCCGGTGGTCCTGGGGGGCCCGGCGGTCCTCTGCACCTATATATAGCGATGATCGATATATATAGGTGCAGCCGTGGGCCCCCCCCCATGGTTCCCTATACTTACAAAGGGGACCCAGCAGACTGCAGCTGTACTTTACAGCATTTCCCTTGCTTTAACTCCGGCGAGACGTGTGGCTGTTAGAGCGTTGCCATGGGTTACCATGGCAATGCTCCACGCGGCGCGCACACCACATCTCGCGGGAGTTAGAGCGAGGGAAGTCCTGTAAAGTACAGCTGCAGTCCGCTGGGCCCCCTCTGCAAGTATAGGGAGCCGGGGGGGCCCCGCAATGCCACCGGACCACCAGGGATCAAAGAATCTTCCCCCCTCCCTGAACCAGGTAAGAAACAGGGAGGGGGGAATAACAGTTATTACACTGCATGCATTCACTACTAAACACACACACACACACTGCATTCATTACACTAACACACACACTGCATTCACTGCACTAACACACACACTGCACCCACAACACTAACACACACTCTGCATCCACTACACTGACACACACACTGCATCCACAACACTAACACACACTGCATCCACTACACTGACACACACTCTGCATTCACTACACTAACACACACACTGCATCCACTACACTGACACACACTCTGCATTCACTACACTGACACACACACTGCATTCATTACACTAACACACACTCTGCATCCACAACACTAGCACACACACTGCATCCACAACACTAACACACACACTGCATTCATTACACTAACACACACACTGCATCCACTACACTGACACACACTCTGCATTCACTACACTAACACACACACTGCATTCACTACACTGACACATACACTGCATTCACTACACTGACACAGTGTGCATTCATTACACTGACACACACTACATTCATTACACTAACACACACTCTGCATCCACAACACTGGCACACACACTGCATCCACAACACTAACACACACACTGCATTCACTACACTAACACACATACTGCATTCACTACACTGACACACACACTGTATGCACTACACTGACACACACTGTGCATTCATTACACTGACACACACTACATTCATTACACTAACACACACATTGCATTCATTGCACTAACACACACTCTGCATCCACAACACTAGCACACACACTGCATCCACAACACTAACACACACACTGCATCCACTACACTAACACACACACTGCATCCACAACACTAACACACACACTGCATTCACTACACTAACACACACTGCATTCACTACACTAACACACACACTTAGTGTTTGTGACTAAGTGGCTACTAAAAATTACTGTTTTTTTAGATGGGAATGACAGGATTTGGCGATAGATTGAACATGAAGCTTGAAAGAGAGGTCAGAGTCAAAGAGAACACCTAGGCAGCGAGCCTGCATGGTGGAGCTGATGGTAGCACCGTTGACTTGGAGGGAGACAGACACAGGAGTAACAACACTTGAGGGAGGAAAGACCAGAATTTCAGTTTTGGTCAAGTTTAGTTTAAGGAAGTGGGCAGCCATCCAGTTAGAAACAGCAGAGAGGCAGTCAGAGACATTAGTCAAGAGGGACGGGGAGAGATCAGGAGAGGACAGGTAGATTTGCGTGTCATCTACATAGAAATGATATTGGAAGCCAAATGAGCTAATGAGTTTACCAATGGAGGCAGTATATATGGAGAACAGTAGGGGACCAAGGACTGAACCTTGGGGGACACCAACAGAGAGGAATTGGGGAGAAGAAGCAGAGCCAGAGAAAGAAACACTGAAAGAGCGCTGGGAGAGGTAGGAGGAGCACCAGGAGAGAGCAGTATCTTGTAGACCGATATTGCGGAGGATGAGACTCTCTTTCTTTCCAAAACACCATAAAACATGTACATGGGGGTACTGTTATACTTGGGAGACTTCACTGAACACAAACATAAGTGTTTCAAAACAGTAAAACATATTACAACAATAATATAGTCAGTAAAAGTGCTGTTCGTGTGTGAAAAATGCAAAAAAAGTCACTTTTACTGGAAATATCATTGTTGTAATACAATTTATCATTTTGAAACACTAATATTTGTGTTCAGCGAAGTCTCCTGAGTAAAACAGTACCCCCTATGTAAAGGTTTTATGGTGTCTTGGAAAGTTACAGGGTTAAATATAGTGCTTGCAAATTAAATTCTCTGCACTTTCTGCCTGGGTTGTCAGGCACGTCAGTCAAATTTGAATAAATTAAATCACATAATTATGTTAAAAGATTACTTAAATATTCATGTAGAATTTTAATATATATGTATTAAAATTCTACGTGTATACTTATGTAATCATTAATGATTATCTGCAGCTGAGCAGTGGGTTGGAGACAGTTCAAAACTCTGGCCTGGTCCTTATTTCTCCCAGTTGTATGTAAACTGTGGAGTGGAGCATTGGCCCACCCTGCTCTCCAAATGCTCCACCCCAGGGGCCCATAACTAAACATTGGTTTGTGTTGCCTACAACACATACAACATCTACTCCCCCTGGGGTTAAATGTTATAGGCCTCTCTGCCTTCACTTTATCACAATATATCACAATATATATATATATATATGTATATATATATATATATATATATATATATATAATATATATCTTATATGTAACTTTATTCTAAGTGTATTTTAAGACTAATATATGTACTTATATTAACATTAAAAGACACTACGTATGACGTTACATATATATAAGATGTGAATATATATATATTTATATATATATATATATATTATACATATACATTTAATTTATTTTTACATGTCGAATAATATATATATTTTTTACACTTCCCACCAGCAGGGGGACTGTCTGACAGCTGGCAGATCCACAGCCAGCTATAGGGGGCCATGTGATTGCTCTTTGAGAATGATCACTTGGCCCCTGGGGGCCTAAATTTGCAGTGAGAGGGTTGTCTGGGCTCTCAGGCAGTGCCGTGAGAGGGCTGTCTGGGCGCTCAGACAGTCCTCCCCAAGAGGATTGCGGTGAAGGTAAGTACCGCGGACCTCCAGGGGCTGAAAGCCGTTACAGCGTTCTATGCCGCCACAACGGCTTTAAAGCCCATTATAATGGGGACGGCATAGAATGCCGTAACGGCATTAAGGGGTTAAACATCATTACACATCTTGGGAGTGAAAGATTATCTTTAAAGGAAAGTGTCAACTTTCATGACATTCTTTCCAAGAGCACAGTCATTTAAGTGTTGGTTGGTTGGCAGCTTGCACTTACCTAATTAAAGGTTTCTAAGGAGGAAACAGTGGTGGTACTCAGGTAGAGAAAACTACAAGAGTTTTCCTTCAAAGCCAGGATGATGCTTAGAATGTTCCTTTGAAATTAAATGCTCTGAATATAAAATCGGTAGACAAGTCAGTTTCTTTAAGATTGCTAGATGTTTTTCATAAAGACACACACGAGGTTGTTGCCAACCAGATAAGCACTAAACATCTCCCCTCAATTTTTTCATTATGCAAAAAAAGGAAAAGTATCACTATTTTTTTCCTTTTTTTTTACTTGAGAATAAGGCCTTTGTTGTAATCCTGCCCACTTAAAGAGGTATTTTATTACGCTCACTCCACTTTCACTATGTTTTTGTTATTATCATCATTGTACAGTGGAACTTCGGATTAAGACTAACGTGTATTACGTGTTTTTCGATCTACGAGCCTAAATTTTTAATAACATTTATTTCCGACTAAGAGCGATGACTTAGGAACCGAGTCAAAATTTTGCCATGTGTCTATCGTCGAGGAAGCATTACGTACTGTATTCTACCCACGTATTCATTGTTCTTTCACGACCACGTGTTTGTTCATGGAACATTTTTGTGTCTACGTGAAGTGCATTGTTTAATGTAGTGTTGAGAATGGCCCCTAAGATGATGAAGAAGGAAGGCAGGAAGAAAATGATTACCGTGCAGGTGAAGAAGGAGATCATCGAGAAGCATGAAGGAGGTATGCGAGTTGTGGACCTAGCGAGGTTGTATAACTGTACAACCACATTTGCACCATCCTGTAGAGTAAGGAGATGATGAAGGCTATCCACATAGCCAAGGGAGTAATGATGGTAACAAAGCAGCGTCCTCGTATTCTGGAAGATGTTGAGAAACTGCTTCTCGTTTGGATAAACAAGAAACAGTTGGCTGGTGATACAGTCACTGAGGGCATCATTTGCAAGAAAGCAGGGGCATGGTACAATGACCTGAAGACTAAGTTGCCAGGTCCATCTGTAAAGAACGAAGAGAGCTTCAAGGCGAGCAGTGGTTGGTTCAAGAACTTCAAGAGAAGGACTGACCTCCATAGTGTTGTCCGGCATGGGGAGGCTGCGAGCGCCAACACCAAGGCAGCAGAGGTATTCGTCAAAGAGTTTGAAAGGCTTGTGGTTTCCGAGTGTTATGTGCCGCAGCAAGTTTTCAAGTGCGATAAGATGGGGCTTTTTTGGAAGAAGATGCCCAAAAGCACCTATATCACTGCTGAGGAGAAGGTCATGTCTGGTCATAAGCCCATGAAAGACTGTCTCACCCTCTTGTTTTGTGCCAATGCAAGCAACGACTTCAAGGTGAAACCTCTGCTTATCTACCACGCAGAAAATCCACAAGCCTTCAAGAAATGTAAGTTTCAGAAGAGTCAGCTCAATGTGTTATTGAGGTCCAACAGCAAGGCTTGAGTCACGCGGATGTTGTTTGTTGAATGGATCAACGAGTGCTTTGGTCCCTCTGTCAAGCAGTTCCTACTTGATAGGGGCCTTCCTCTCATAGCCTTGCTGGTTATGGACAATGCTCCTGCACATTCTCCAAACATCGAGGATGACCTACTGGAGGAATTCAGTTTCATCAAGGTCATGTTCCTCCCTCCCAGCACCACGTCACTCATTCAGCCCATAGATCAGCAGGTCATCTCGAACTGCAAAAAGCTATATACTAAGGCATTGTTTCAGCAATGTTTCAAGGTGACTTAAGGAACAAACCTTAACCTTTCGAGAGTTTTGGAAAGACCCTTTCCATATTGTCAGCTGCCTGAAGTCTATTGATAAAGCTTGGGAGGGGGTCAACAAGATAAACATCAATTCCTCTTGGAGGAAACTGTGGCCTGATTGCATTCTCGAAAGTGATTTTGAGGGCTTCGTTCCGGAAGAGCAGCCAGTCGTCAATTAAATTGTGCTTTTGGGGAAGACTATGAGACTGGATGTGAACCATGAAAACATCCAGGAGTTGGTGGAGGAACATGACGAGAAGCTGACAACCGAGCTGATGGATCTGCATAAGAAGCAGCGGCATGACGTTATCGTGGAGCCATCGTCTGAGGAGGAGGACAAAGCAGAGGACTCTCTCAGTTCTCAGAGGATTAAGGAGGTGTGCAAAGCATGGGTGTTTTTGCAAGATTTTGTTGAGAAGAATCACCCAAATAAGACTGTAGCAATTCGTAGTGTGAATTTGTTTAATGATAACGCGATGTCACATTTCCATGAAATTTTGAAAAGAAGGCAAAAGCAGGTGTCATTACATAGGTTCCTTGTGAAAGTTTGTAAGAGTAATAGTGAAACAGAGGTTTGCCCACAGTCCAAAAAGCATAAAATATCCGATAGTGAAGAGGGAACTCCCGAGGTGACAGCTCCCGACATCTGGAAGGAGTCTCTCCTTCCATCCAGTTACCTCTCCTTCTCCTCCTCTTCCTCATCTCCCTCACGCCAGCCAAAACTCCCTTCAAAGGTAAAGTGCAGGTTAATTTGTATAATATTTATTTTTAATTGTGAATTATTAATTGTTAAAGTTATTTCAAAAATGTACACCGTAACAATGTATGCATGCCTTGTGTTCTTGTGAGACTAAGTGACTTCAGTTATTGTGTATTTTACACACAAAAACTGGGTGAAAAACCTATAAATCATTTGATTTTGTCACTGCTGTCATCAAATCATTTTCAGCTGTGATCTATGTATGTTGCTAGCTACATTTAGACATGGATCCTACAGTTGTGTGGATGTCTTCTTGTAATTTGTAAAATATGAATGAGTAAGCACAGATAGATTTCATTTTCTTATTTAGTTCGAAATATGGAATGCAAGGCAAGGGTCTTTGGAATGCTGACAGGTCCAAAAGATCAGCTCTACCCCATGACATTTGGCAAAGGGCAGAGACACTAACTTAATTACAATCTTCTTCAAAGCATAGGTCACACAATCACAGTGGAATTCATTCTTGAATTAAAATTAGTCCTTTGACCTACTCTAGGCAAATGATAATGTGAACAGAATGGGTTACACCAAGTAGTGTATATAAAGATGTAGGAAGAAGTACCGATCAAATACTATAAGACATTATATTAGTATAAAGTAAAACTTTTTTCTAGGGCACAATGGCCAAGTTGACTTGCGTCAAACAAGAGTTTCCAAGTCAAGGTTTGTGTTGACATAATGTCAACCTTGACGTATGTATTTATGTGCTTGTGAATAAAATAGTGGTAGGGCAAACAAACTTTCAAAAAGGAAGGTAAGATGAAGGGATAATGTCAACTAAAAACATTGTCACATAAATGTTTGGGTTTTGGAAAAAAGGACACCTACATATTACTTACAGGGTTAGTCACTGAATTGAGAATTGCAGGGAATTCAAAGTAAATTCAAAAGTAATTTCAAATTTAAGGTAAACACAGCTGAACCACAACTGTGCTTTCAGTTTGGCTATTTTGACCTTCATTTTGAAATTCATTTTTGAATTCTCTGCACTACTCACTTTACTAAACAACCCAGTATCCTCCACTTCCAGTATCCCCCACGTCCAGTCAGTGGCGGATCCAGAGGTTGATCTCGAGAAGGGACACTTGTAGATTATTTAAAGAAATAATCTGGCAAAATAACCACTACACAGAGCTGTAGTGGTTATTGTGCATGGGAGTGCCGGAACCCTCTCCCAGACTAAGTAGTCAAACCGTTTAAGAACAGTTTTAAAACTTACCTGGGATCTTCTGAGATATAGGTCTGTAGTAGGGCATAGAAGCAGTGATGTGTGTGAGTGGTGCAATGTGTGAGGGGTGCAGTGTGTGTGAATGATTCAGTGTTTGGGGGGTGTAGTGTGTGAATGTGTAGGGTGTGTGGGGCAATGTGTGTATGGGGGGCACTGGCGGATGCGGGGGGACAACCGGGCAATTGCCCCCCCCTCGAGGCTCTCCCCTGCCGGCTAATGCAGGGCTGGCACTATCCAAGCGCCAGCCCTGCAATGTGCCTTCAAGGTCCAGAGAGGAGATCAGAGATCTCCCTCCCCGGTCCTACAGCTCCCCCGGGTCGTACTCTCACGAGCACGTAGCGTTGCCGCGGTTACCACGGCAACGCTCCAGATCTCGCAAAAGAGTGAACTCTAGCCCTGGAGCTGTGGGCTAGAGTTCACTCTCACCACCAGGGATTCCCAACTGGACCACCAGGGATCAAGAAATGTGCCCCCTCAGTAAAGGTAAGAAAAGAGGGGGAACATATTTATTTATTTATATTTTAAAACATTTTTTTTTATAAAAAAGCCTCCCCTACCCTCCTCACCACACATTCACACACTGCGCCCCCCCTACACACATTGCACCACATACAGAGCCCCCCATACACACACACACATACGCTGCCCCCACATAAACAGCCCCCCATACACACATACATTGCCCCACACACACATACACTGGCCCCCCATAGACACACTGCCCTCCCATACACACATTGCCCCACACACACACATACACAGCCAATACAGACACTGCCCACACATTCACAGCCCCCATACACACACTGCCCCTCACACTTTACACTGACCCCCAATAAACGCTACCTCGCCCCCACACACACCATACACATTCACACACTGCCCTCCATATACACATTGGCCCCCCCACACACAGCCCCTCCTACACACATTGCCCCATTGGACTTCAAGCCATTATCTAGACATTTAATCACTTTGCACTTTATTTAATTTGTACTATTTTCTATTTTATTTCATTTTATATTTAAATGTTTTTTGCTCTCCATAAGTTAATCCAGATGTGGACCCCTTGCTCATGGTGCCGAGAGAGATCAGCTATGCCTCACTAATGATGCCTAACAAGGCTGAAAGGATCGTCTGGGGTTGCTGTGTCTCGGTTGTGCAGAGGGAACTTCCTGGCATGTCGCATCTGGACTGCACATATGGGTGGGACCAGTCTGATATGTTTCAGAGATGTTCTCTATGTAATGGCACAAGATGAGCTAAAACCAGCTTGAGATCTGAGCAGGGACTCACCGAAGGGCAGGCTATTTCAGCTGCTGCCCGTTCTCAGTATACTCTTGCACCCTGTTTTTTGTTCTCCATTTTATATTTAAAGTTTAATAAATTTACTCAGTCAAATTGGCTTCATCCATTACTTGCTGCTAAAGAAGGGAAGGTGCCCTATCTAGAGGTAACTAGGTTTACGACCCAGAGCCAGGTCTTATTGGCTTTAAAGGAGGTGAGCAAAACCATCAGCACCGGAAAAAGGGTGCAGTGTTACCAACGACACTAATGCCGATGTGATTTGAGCCTGTCCCCTAGACCTCTTATCAATGTGAGTTGACACACTTACGATTAAGTTCTATTTTACTACCACCCTTTTTGTGGATTTACACTATATTGTTTTATTCTGTCTCATTTGTATGTATTAATTGTACGTCCAAGCTCCACAAGTGTATACTTGTATTTCCTATATAGTGCCCCACTCACCTAATTAGTATAGATTTGGGTATAATACTCACATCTCACTGATTTATTTTGTTCATTATTTTGCTTTTTCAGCGTTG